ATGGCATCGTGAAGCACCTTTATTTTTAAGAGTGTATCCCTTTAAATTAATTTTCATCTGACCAGTTTAATATGGAGAGGCACTGAAATGTAGACCTTAGTTTATGTGTTTTTGACCTACTCTGTACAAGACGTGAGAACAGTTAGCTATTCATGTTTGTACGTTAGCATGGACTCACTAACTTTAACATTAGCTAGTTTTAGCCAGAGATACCTTGCTGAAGCTCAAGATGGCATTAACGTTCTGCTTGAGCAGATTAAAATAGTAATTTAATGAGAGCATGACAACCAGAAAATTAATTTTTTCGTCTTCATTGGGATTGGGGGTGAATACTTCAGGAAAAAACTCTGTTTTGCTTGGGTTTAGGAAATATAATAAAATACATTGCATTGCCTATCCTCTCAGGATACCTGGAATCAGTGTTTGAAGTACCCCAGGCAGATCGTTTTTCCATTTTTGTAGCATAAACACCATCAAACCGATGAGAGCTTTGGATCTTACAATGTTTCTCTATGGCACTGAAACCTAAATATGTCTGAGTTCTGGTCCCCGTCCAGCTGATACTCAACTGCCATTGGCTCATCTGCGTTCAAGGGGAGGGGCTTACCTATTGGTCCCAAGGCTTGCCTACTCTTCTGCTACACACTCAAAAGTGTGTACCTTTTCCTCACCAAAAGAGTACATAAAGGCATAGTATAAGTTGGCACATTGGGACACAGCATTTGTTGAGTCAATGGTGTCAACGGCAATCAGGAAAAGAAGCTGAGTGTATATCAAACACTTTGACATAATTTGAGTCTGTAGTTTGTTTTGTTCCAGTGAAGAATCAGTGGTGTGAATCATTAATCACATAAAAAATCATTTTTTTTTAAGGATTCAATACATGTCATAAAACATTCCCATGCAAATCATCCCATATTCTGAAGTGCTCTGAAGGCATACGGGAACAACACTGTAAATGCCTCTATTATTAAGCGAAAAGGAGTTTTAGTGGCATGAAAAGTGAATGATTCTATATATTATTTA